AAAAACCCAAAAACAAGGTCAAAAGTTTTTTTTTTTCTCATTATGTACTATATGCTGCAGGATTTGTTTCATGTGATGCACACTTAGTGCATCGACCCATTCTCTCATATCTAGGCTCAAATTTACCATTTACAGCTTATCTGAGTGAGCTGACACCAGAGAATTTTCCAGCATATTTGTGAATAAGTAAAGCAGCATTAAACTATCTCCACATTTCTATAGCAATAAGCAAGAAGGAACAAAGAATTTGAGTAGAGTAAGATTCTTTCTTGTTACTTTAAAAGTTTATTCTAATAAATGAAACACAACAGTTTTAAGTTGTGCTAATTTCTTTTTTTTTTTTTTAACAAGTCGGCCGTCTCCCACAGAGGCAGGGTGACCCAAAAAGAAAGAAATCCCCAAAAAGAAGATACTTTTATCATCATTCAACACTTTCACCTCACTCACACATAATCAATGTTTTTGCAGAGGTGCTCAGAACATAACAGTTTAGAAGCATATACATGTACGTATAAAGAGACACAACATATCTCTCCAAACTGCTAATTTTCAAAAACCCATCCTTTAGAGCACAGGCATTGTACTTCCCATTTCCAGGACTCAAGTCTGGCTATATAAAAATAACCGGTTTCCCTGAATCCCTTCACTAAGTATTACCCTGCTCACACTCCAACAGATCGTCAGGTCCCAAATACCATTCGCCTCCATTCACTCCTATCGAACACGCACATGCATGCCTGCTGGAAGTCCAAGCCCCTCGCCCACAAAACCTCCCTTACCACTTCCTTCCAACCTTTTCGAGAACGACCCCTACCCCGCCTTCCTTCCTCTACAGATTTAAATGCTCTCCATGTCATTCTACTTTGATCCATTTTCTCTAAATGTCCAAACCACCTCAACAACCCCTCTTCAGCCCTCTGACTAATACTTTTATTAACTCCACACCTTCTCCTAATTTCCACACTCCGAATTTACACCACACATTGCCCTTAGACAGGACATCTCCACTGTCTCCAACCGCCTCCTCGCTGCTGCATTCACAACCAAAGCTTCACATCCATATAAGTGTGTTGGTACTACTATACTTTCATACATTCCCTTCTTTGCCTCCATAGATAACGTTTTTTGTCTCCACATATACCGCAATGCAGCACTCACCTTTTTTCCCTCATCAATTCTATGATTAACCTCATCCTTCATAAATCCATCTGCCGACATGTCAACTCCCAAGTATCTGAAAACATTCACTTTTTCCATACTCCTCCTCCCCTATTCCCTATTTGATATCCAATTTTTCTTTATCCAAATCATTTGATACCCTCATCACCTTACTCTTTTCTATGTTCACTTTCAACTTTCTACTTTTACACACACTTCCAAACTCGTCCGCCAACCTTTGCAATTTTTCTTCAGAATCTCCCATAAGCACAGCATCATCAGCAAAAAGCAACTGTGTCAATTCCCATTTTGTATTTCATTCCCCATAATTTAATCCCACCCCTCTCCCAAACACCCTAGCATTTACAACCCTATCTATAAATATATTAAACAACCATGGTGACATTACACATCCCTGTCTAAGACCTACTTTTACCAGGAAGTAGTCTCCCTCTCTTCTACACACCCTAACCCGAGCCTCACTATCCTCATAAAAACTCTTTACAGCATTTAGTAACTTACCGCCTATTCCATATACTTGCAACATCTGCCACATTGCTCCCCTATCCACTATCATATGCCTTTTCTAAATCCATAAATGCAATAAAAACTTTCCTACCTTTATCTAAATACTGTTCACATATATGCTTCAATGTAAACACTTGATCTACACATCCCACACCCACTCTGAAACTTCCTTGCTCATCCGCAATCTTACATTCTGTCTTACCTCTAATTCTTTCAATTATAACCCAACTGTACACTTTTCCTGGTATACTCAGTAAACTTATTCCTCTATAATTTTTACAATCTCTTTTGTCCCCCTTCCCTTCATATAAAGGGACTATACATGCTCTCCGCCAATCCCTAGGTACCTTCCCCTCTTTCATACATTTATTAAACAAAAATACCAACCACTCCAACACTATATCCCCCCTGCTTTTAACATTTCTGTCATGATCCCATCAGTTCCAGCTGCTTTACCCCCTTTCATTCTACGTAATGCCTCACGCACCTCCCCCCACACTCACATCCTGTTCTTCACTCCTAAAAGATGATATATCTCCCTGGCCAGTGCATGAAATTACCGCTTCCCTTTCTTCGTCGACATTTAAAAGTTCCTCAAAATATTCTCGCCATCTACCCAAAACCTCCATCTCCCCATCTACTAACTCCCCTACTCTGTTTTTAACTGACAAATCCACTTGTTCTCTAGGTTTTCTTAACTTGTTATAATTCACTCCAAAAATTTTTCTTATTTTCATTAAAATTTCTTGACTGCTTACCCACTCTATCATCTCCTCTCCTTTTGCACTCTCTCACCACTCTCTTTACCTTTCTTTTACTCTCCATATACTCTACTCTTCTTATAACACTTCTGCTTTGTAAAAACGTCTCATAAGCTAACTTTTTTATCACACCCTTTACTTCATCATTCCACCAATCACTCCTCTTTCCTCCTGCACCCACCCTCCTATAACCACAAACTTCTGCCCCACATTCTAATACTGCATTTTTAAAACTATTCCAACCCTCTTCAACCCCCCCCCCCCACTACTCATACTTGCACCAGCCCACCTTTCTGCCAATAGTTGCTTATATCTCACCCTAACTTCCTCCTCCCTTAGTTTATACACTTTTACTTCCCTCTTGCTTGTTGTTGTCATTTTCCTCTTTTCCCATCTACCTCTTACTCTAACTTTAGCTACAACTAAATAATAATCCGATATCAGTTGCCCCTTTATAAACATGTACATCCTGGAGCCTACCCATCAACATTTTATCCACCAATACATAATCTAACAAACTATTTTCATTACGTGCTATATCATACCTTGTATATTTATTTATCCTCTTCTTCATAAAATATGTATTACTTATTACCAAACCTCTTTCCACACATAGCTCAATTAAAGGTTCCCCATTTTCATTTACCCCTGGCACCCTAAATTTACCTACTACTCCCTCCACAACATTTTTGCCCACTATAGCATTGAAATCCCCAACCACCATTACTCTCACACTTGGTTCAAAACTCCCCATGCATACATTCAACATTTCCTAAAATCTCTCTCTCTCCTCTACACTTCTCTCATCTCCAGGTGCATATATGCTTACTATAACCCAATTTTCACATCCAACCTTTATTTTACTCTGCATAATCCTTGAATTAATACATTTATAGTCCCTCTTTTCCTGCCATAACTTATCCTTCAACATTATTGCTACTCCTACTTTAGCACTAACTCTATTTGAAACCCCTGACCTAATCCCATTTATTCCTCTCTCACTGAAACTCTCTCACCCCCTTCAGCTTTGTTTCACTTAAAGCCAGGACATCCAGCTTCTTCTTACTCATAACATCCACAATCATCTCTTTCTTATCATTTGCACAACATCCACGCACATTCAGACTTCCCACTTTGACAATTTTCTTCTTATTATTCTTTTTATTAATTATTACAGGAAAAGGGGTTACTAGCCCATTGTTCCCTGCATTTTAGTTGACTTTTACAACACGCATGGCTTACGGACGAAAAATTCTTATTCCACTTCCCCATGGATATAATAGGAAAAGTAATGAGACCAAGAACTATTAAGATAAAATCAAAGAAAACTCAGATGAGTGTGTATAAATAAACATGTACATATATGTGTAGTGTGACCTAAGTGTAAGTAGAAGTAGCAAGACGTACCTGTAATCTTGCATATTTACGAGACAGACAAAAGACACCAGCAATCCTACCATCATGTAAAGCAATTACAGGCTTTCGTTTCACACTCACTTGGCAGGACGGTAGTACCCCCCTGGGTGGTTGGTCAACCAACCTACAAGATTAATTCTTTTTTAAATATTTGATTTAAAATTATAGGCAGAACTTGGTAATGTATGAACAATCTAGGAAAATGAAAGATTTCTGGAATTAGTAATGTGATATACTGTACAGAAATTTGTCAAAAGAAAACTGAAGTGTTTGCTAGCTATCAAGTTTTTGCTCTCCAACTATTTCATCCACTTTTCTCTAATTTTTTTTTTCAGTACTGTCAGTATGTGACTGGTTACTCCATTTTTTTTTTTTTTGTCAGTTTTCCTGTTTGTAATTAAAATTCTGGGGTGAACAGCTTAATTTTTCTAACATTCTATGAGCACACATAGCACTATCTTATCTGGTACCACTGACCTTTTTTTTTTTTTTATCAATATGCAAGAAGTTGCTTCTATCTCTCCTCTATGAATTTTTCAACATTCTCCACGTTTTTTAAATTTTTTTTAAGGGGTCAAGTTTCACCAATCAAGCACTAACCTAGCTAATTTTGTTGAGGTCAAGCTCCAGTGCCAAGGATTGTCCCTTTCTAGTGTATTTCACTTTTGCTACCCTTATGTTTTAAAAATACTTCTTGTTTTTTAATAGCGCTCTCATTCAATGAATCAACTTCACCCAGTAGCCAATTTTTATCTACCCTCTTTCATAATGAGAATTTTGTATGCCACATAATCTTGCCTCCAGAGTGTTGAGAAGTTCCTAAGAACATCCTTCATAGCTCTTATGTGCAAGGCTGGGTGAGGGTGTCTGGGATAAGCTAACTGTAATAATGTATAATGAAGAAATTTTTATCCTAACATCATAATGGAATGAAAAAAATAAAGACAACATGTATTGTAAAATACGTAAGTAATAAAAAAGTATAAAAGAATATACAGCACTGCATAATCTTTTTGTATTACTTGACATTTTCTGCTGATAAAATATACAGTACAACTAACACTAAAATATGAAGTGAAGAGTTGAAAATATGGTATTTCATGTATATAAACTCTTATATGAATAAACACAAATTACCTGATCTACAATTCCTTCCAGAGATGCCAGGACAGTAGGATGTAGCTCCTTTTGCATGTGCATGATGCGGGAACATCGCCACATAGGCTCTGTTGCTTTTATCGAGCCAGCTGTTTCAGTTCCCTGTTGCTGACCACTTTGCTGTGGTTGTTGTTGTGACTGCTGTGTTTGTGACTGCTGTTGCTGTTGATTCTGCTGCTGGGTTTTCTGGGAAGCCACAGCAGCTGGATCTACTATGAAAAAAAAAAAAAAAGATACATAAAACCTTGTAACAATACACATCAAATTTATTTATTTATTTATTTATTTATTTATTTATTTATTAATGTGAACACTGAATTTGAAGTGATTCACCTAATTGAAAATTTAAGGATCTCCCGGAGATCCTTATGATTATTTAGATAAAATAATAGAGATTCTCCATAGGGAAGTGAGAAGAATATGTCCTCTGTCAGTCATGTGTGTCATAAGAGGCAACTTTAAATGCCAGGAGCAAGGGGCTAGTAACCCCTTCACCTGTAAAAATTACTAAAAATATAAAGACAAACTTTAAAGAAAGTGATTCTTCTTTTTTAGGTTACCCTACCTCATTGGGAGACAGCTGGTGTTAAAAAAAAAAATATAAGTGAGAAAGGCTGGATCTGAGAAGGCCCTGACTAGCATGGGCCTGTAAGCCTATTGCAGTGCTTATCAATTCTTACGTTCTTACAAGCGCATCAGCTGATCACTCATCAGCACAAGACAATTTACAACCATCCATCATGGCCCATTAGGATCCTAATAACCATTTTCACACACTAATCTAACTATAGCACAAGAAGGTTACAAACCCTTCACTATTAATCCTTTCAGGGTCAGAACCCCTGATTAAAAAAAAAAAATAAATGATAATCTTTTTCCAAAGGTAATGAAATAAGAAATATGAAATTTGATGGAAAACTTAGGAAATTAGAATGGTACCTTGACTTACGAGTTTAATTCATTCTGTGACCCAGCTCGTAACTCAATTTGCTCGTATATCAAATCAATTTTCCTCACTGAAACTAAATGAAATGCCATTAATCTGTTCCAGCGAAATTCCTGGTGCTCGGGAAGCAGGAGAAAATACTTCAACATAACGCCAGTATCAACTCTATGGCTTATTTATCTATCACAATTGATCTAATGTGACATAATAAACAATATAAATAACATAAGAACATGATATATACTCTAGAATGAATAAAATACAGTGGACCCTCAACTAACAGCGGCATTAAGTAATGGCAATTTCGTCTAACGATGCTTTTTGCGGTAAAAAAATGTCTTAACCAACAGCAAAAAACTCTACCAACAACGTTCGTCCGGAACATGTCCATGTGCTCGGAGTGCGGCTTGAGCGGGCAGCCCAGCAACTCCACAACTCAGTGTGCCATTGTTTACAAGGTGTTGCGGTCGGTTTCCATGTGTGCCTCCCATATATTTTGGATTATTCCACTGTTGTTAGTGCTTGTAACTGCTAAATAAGCCACCATGGGTCCAAGAAAGCTTCTAGTGTCAAGCCTGTGTTAAAAAGGGTGAGAATTACAATAGAAATGAAGGAGATCATTGAAAAATAAGAGAGTGAAGTCCACATGGCTGAGTTGGAAAGGCAATACAACATACCACATTCAACCATCAGTACTATCTTGGCGAACAGTGAGGCAATCAAGGAAGCTGTTGTTGCGAAAGGTTCAAGTATGTCTTCAAAACGGAGACCGCAAATAATTGAAGAGGTAGAGAGACTGTTATTGGTATGGATAAATGAAAAACAATCATCAGGTGATAGTGTTTCTCAGTCTACAATTTGCGAAAAGGCAAGCATGATGATCTCATTAAGAAAATGCCTCAAAATAGTGCTGCTGCTGATGAATTTAAGGCCAGCAAAGGCTGGTTTGAGAGATTTAAGATTCATAGCAGCATACACAGTGTGGTAAGGCATGGTGAGGCAGCCAGTTCAGACAAAAATGCAGCTGAAAAATATGTGAAGGACTTTAAGGAATACACGGAGACTGAAAACTTAAAACCTGAACTAGTGTTTAATTGTGACAAAACAGGCTGATTTTGGAAGAAAATGCCAAACAAGACCTACAATATTCAGGAGGAAAAGGCACTCCCAGGACATAAGCCTATGAAAGACAGGCTGACATTAATGTTGTGTAGTAATGCTAGTGGTGATTGCAAAGTGAAGCCTTTATTGGTGTATCACTCTGATACTCCCAGAGTGTTCAAGAAAAACAATATCATCAAGGGTAATTTGTGTATCCTGTGGAGATCAAACAGTAAGGCATGGGTCACTAGGGAATTTTTCTTGGACTGGTTTTATGGTGTGTTTGGTCCCACTGTGAAAAATTACCTCCAGGAAAAGAAATTGTCACTCAAGTGCCTCCTGGTAATGGACAATGCTCCTGCTCATCCTCACGACTTGCAAGAGGAATTTGCAGGGGAGTTTGGTTTCGTTAAGGTGAAGTTTTTGCCTCCTAATACAACTCCTCTCCTCCAGCCCATGGACCAGCAGGTCATTTCAAACTTCAAAAACTCTACACAAAAGCAGTGCTTCAAAAGTGCTTTGAAGTGACCTCAGACACTCAGTTGACCCTAAGAGAGTTTTGGAAAGATCACTTCAATATCCTCAGCTGTGTAAACCTTATAGGTAAGGCTTGGGAGGGAGTGACTAAGAGGACCTTGAACTCTGCTTGGAGGAAACTGTGGCCAGAATGTGTATAACAGAGGGATTTTGAAGGGTTTGGGGCTAACCCTCAGGAGGCTATGCAAGTAGCGGAAGCTATTGTGTCATTGAGGAAGTCCTTGGGGTTGGAGGTTTGTGACGAGGATGTGGAAGAGTTGGTGCAGAACGGCGAGGAAGAACTAACCACTGCAGACCTGCAAGAGCTTCAGGTGCAACAGCAACAGATCACATCTCAGGAATGTTATTCAGAGCACGAGGAAGAGAGACGGAGGAAGATGACTTCGTCAAGGATTAGGGAAATGTGTTCAATGTTTACAAAGGTGCAAGCATTTATTGTTGAATTTTATCTTGTCACATAAGTTGCAAGCCGCATTGGCAACATGTACAATGACACTCTTGTGTCCCATTTTAGGGAAATCCTAAGGGCACGTGAGAAACAGAGCTCTCTGGACAGTTATTTTGTGCGACAGGGGTCCAGTGACTCTCAAGCTGGTCCTTGTGGCATTAAATAACCAAGAAGGGAGGTAACCCCACCAAAGGACTTGGTACCTGAAGTCTTTATGGAAGGGGATTCTCCTTCCAAGCAATAGACAATCCTGAATCTCCCCTGCTGCTGGCACATCACTCATCAACAACTCCACAAAAAAGGTAAGTGGCATTTAATTACTGTTTATTTTGTATGTCCCATTCATTTTCGTTTCAGGAAATGTATATTTCATGAAAAAAAAAAAAAATTTCAGACTTTGGGGTGTCAGGAACGGATTAATTCCATTTCCATTATTTCTTATGGGGAAAATTAATTCGACCAAGAGCAAATTCGACTAACGGCAAGCTCTCTGGAATGGATTAATGCCGTTATTGAGGGTCCAATGTATGTCATTATGTGACGAGTGGTGGTGGCCACTCCCAAGGTAAAAATAATTATCGCTCTGACCATATCTTCCCATTCTTGAGGTCTTATTATAAGAGAAAGAGTTTGTGAGGCTAACTGCACTAGACCACTAGTTTCATAAGGAAAACACTGAAACAAAAGCGATTTTCTCAGATTTTTTTTCTCCGAGCCAGGAGACCGGCCTATGTTTTGGGTGAATATATCAGCATAAATGCCTCATGCCTTCTCGCTTGTACTGCCTTGCCAAGTCGACTACATGCACACCACACTGGTGTTTTTCTATGATTTCATGCTTTAATTCACTGGACAGCATCCTCTTCTTCTCAGCACTGTCCTTTGCACTTACTTTCTTAGGACCCATGGTTAGAAAAAAGAAATTTGGCAAAATAACTGCACAAAATGCAAGCACAACACAAGAGAGATGCTTCCACGGCAAGGTAACTATGCACACTGTTGTGGCGTTCACTGTGCCAACTAGTGGCAGCGTTTCAGAAGCTCGCTCGTAATTCAGATTTGGCTTGCAATTCAAAGCAAAAAATTGACCGAGCAACGGCACATAACTCAGAAATCTCGTAAGTTCGGCAATCGTAAGTCAGGGTACCAACGTACGCTCTTGCAAGTTAGCAGTTTCAGTGATATTTACACACCAACGATTTTGTCCACATTAAGTCCTATCTTCAATCAATTCTGTTGTTCCAGTTGACCAAACTCATACCTATATAACTAGTATTCCTTCTATTCTATTGACTGAGCACAAGAAACTGCCCATTTACCTATTTCAACTAACCAATAAAGTGATTAGAAATCAGTAATTTTGCCAATTTCACACAAAATTCAAAAATATATATCTTCTATAGCCTCTCCTCACTTAACCCTATCACTGTCGAGACCCCTGCTCACAAACTTGCTCTCAGTGTCAAAGAATTTTCACACACACAAAAAAAAAACCCTCATGAAATGACATAAAATCTTTTCCTGATGGTAATGATACCATCGGGAAGTTGGTGGTCTAGGCGATATATACGCATCGGTGATATTGCCCACTTTGAGCCCTATTTTCAGCCAATTCCATTGTTCCAGTCGACCAACCTCATAGCTATTTCTCGAAAACTCCATTTGTTCTATCAATTAAGCACAAGAAACCACCCATTCACCGATTTCAACTACCCAATGTAGTCAGAAATTGGCAATTTGGTCAATTTCACACAAATTTCTAAAGATGCTAATTTCAAAATAGGGTCCAGAATAAACAATTCAGACATTCCTGGCACTAAAATAACATTTTCTCTGTTCATTAGTCACATCTCTAGGCCCCTCTTATATTACTCTTGACTTCCATTTTGAATTTTCATTCACATAAAAAACAGGAGATTTACTGTTATGCAGACTACTGCAATATTATATAATTGTATAATTAATGTCAACCCATTAGTGACTGCGTATTAGAATGGCTAGTTGGGCACTTATTGGACAGTGACGTCATGTGTTTACTCTCGAACATTGGCAAAAATCAAACATTTCTGCTACTTTGAGCTCAATTTCAAGGTCCTTTTCATTGTGAAACCAATCATCATCATCTGTATTTCTGTAATATGTTTTCCATTCTATGAAAGACGAAAAAGAAAATGAGAATA